AAGTGGCAATGAAATCACCCCCCAAAACAAAGATTCAGAAATAACCAATATAAAAATCACAATTTGAGACTTCAAGCCACGAAGAATATTCAATTTTAAACTCAGGAAGACTATCAAAAAAGTGAATGTTGGGATGAAATTACAGAGACGTGTGAAGAAATTTCATACCTGGAATTTGGAGAATTAAAATCAAAGGAAGGAGAAGAAAGTTACAGGCTCCCGTGAAAATTGTGCTCCTACTTCTGGACTGAAAATCCAACCATTCAAACTAGCTATTGCCAAAATTCTGTGGTTATCCCGCCAAAAATTCAAATAGCGGTTAACTCCTAATTCCTTGTGAAACTCAATAATGAATATTCATTAACTGTTTTTCGTAAATTTATGTAGCGAGCTTTGGTCGGAGTGATTTGTTTATTCTACCATATTTTGATTTTATTGTTAGGGCTCGTTTGGTTGGGAAATAAGTTATTTCAGGATTAATTATTTTGATTCATTAATTATCCTAGATTATTTCGGAATTGTTATTCCACATTCCCATAGGGTTAAAAAGAATACTACAATCCCGGAATAACTAATCTCAGGATTAGTTATAGCACGAATTTATCCCAACTAAACATGGGATAAACTCATCTCAAATTTAATCCCGAAATTAATTATCTATTATCCCTCGTACCAAACGAACCCTTAGAATGATAATATATAGTAATTGATTTTACTATAGATCTCTTATCCTTTTCTTGGAGTTTGTGGACCTCTATAAATTGAGGATCATACAATAATACAAGAGCATCCACAATGTAGTGCTTCAATTTTTTAAGTGTTGGTTAAGAGGAGAATTTTCACCCCATATTTTAGTATTCTTTTTTATATTAATAAATTTTTTCCGTGAATGTATGTCATTTGATTGAACCCCATTTTAATATTCTCTTTTAGTACATTTTTATTTTTATCGTCTGATTTATTATCACTAATATTTATTTTATTAATTTATGTCTGACATCTTGTTATTTCGATCCCAACAAACTTGATGCTCAAAATTTGACCGTTGGGTCATTTGTTCTGAGCACACAGAATTTAATATGCATAATAGTTTTGTAATATTATTATAATAGTGAGTGAGACCAAATTTTGTATATTTAAAGGTTTATAGTTTCTGCCGAATAGGTGTTAGGAGGAGGCACATGATGATAGAAAGCACTAGCACAACCTTCATAATGTTCTTCATAGTTTTTCTGCTCAGATAAGGCTTGTTATACTATCTGATCGGATTTAAGGATATGTAATGGTAGTGTAAAAGTACTATTTATATTTTGCCTTATCGATTCAGGTGCATGTTTTGGGAAGACTCAGAATTTATGCTTTTTGTGGATGTGATGTACAAGGAAAAAGAATTGATCCAGTTGCTTCTTTGAGAGGGTGTTCATGTGCTAGCAGACTGTTGGAGTTTGGTTATATTCGGGACCAGGTCAGAGTGAATGACTATCAACAACGATCCTAGTGGGATCAAAAATTTAAGGTGCAGCGTCTAAGGATTTTGGGGTCCATTATGTAACTGAAGACCGGGATTTTGTAGTAGAGTGCAAGGAATACTTGGGAAAATTTCTATGTTATCATCGTATCTGCGAGGCAATATTGGAGAAATGGGAGAAACTACTTCGGATTCGTAGAAGATCTTTCAGAACGGGTGTACCAGTTGGAGATGCTATTGTGCGCATAAGGAGGGTATGAGATGGTTCATGGGTATTGAGACGATGTGTTCTCATGATTCGGGTCACTCGGGATGAGTGCTAATAGAGTTAGTTATGTTTTTGAATGAAGCTATTATTATTTCTAAGGCAAGTCAAGAGTAAATTGGAAGAAGTTGGGTCGATTAGTAATGGTTTGAATCAGCGTGATTGTGACAATGATCAGTTCCTTCGGTATGTTAAGTTACAGGTGATTCGTGGTTGTACGTGCAGGCTTGACATCCACCGTAATTTGATTAATTTGGAGGTATTTGATTCTAATGGCATGTTATGTGTAGATGGATCCCGAAAGAGTTATGGTGGTTTAGACCACAACTTGAGGTCTGTATTTTCTACGGCTATGGGAATTCGATTGCGTATTTCCATTGTTCCTCTGAAGTGTGTTGAGTGAAAGAGTTTCTAGATGATGAAGTGTTTATCCTATTAGTGGTTCACGAGTTATGATGAAATTATGGTACTCTCGCATAGCAACATGATAGGTGCAATGAGCGGCATGGAAATTGAAAGTTGAGGATCAAAGTTGAGGCTCGGTGTTGACAAGAATGTCACGAGCTCGGATGAGCAGGAAAGAATTCAGATGTTCAGAGTAAGCTGGTATTTTTTTTAGTGTCACCTTAGAATGGTGTCCTGTGTAAGAGGCCTTGCATACTGATTTGCAGATTCTCGATTTTCTTTAAAACATTAGTACTGTTGGTGGTATGGAGGTGCAAACCTTGCTACATGGCGTGGAAGGTGGTGGGAGTGTATCCCACGGGGAAATCTGTATAAGTGTGACATGGTAGTCATTTGATTGTTAAAGATTGAAACCAAGTATAGAGATTATGGTACTATTGTTAATGTGAGAGTTTATGCCTGGAAGGCGCTCTATTCCTTTGGTTGTGAACTGTGGGAGTTTGTTCCGGATTGGGACGACTGCTCGTGTGTGTCATAAATAGGGCCATCGTGGATCCTTGAAAGGTTGTTGGCCCAGTATGGGATGATCGGAATCGTCTTGGGGTCCGTTGATGGGTCTAATGTGAATGTGTAATATACATCAGGTCGGATGTGTTCATTCAGCATAGCATTGCTTATAGAGGAGTCTTCGAGCGTCGGATGTTATTCCCGTCGTCACTTATTCCATGTAATACTATATTGTGACATGTGGGTTGTGAGGCAGCTTGATTATTCATACATGTGTTGTGGTCCTGTGTAGCTTGTTATGTTATATGAACAGGATGGCTCTCGAGATGCAGGTCATTTATCGCACCTTAGTTGTGCCTAGGTTTTTTAGTGTATGGCGCTATCCGTCTCCCTAAGGCTGTATTTTTTCACTTGGTGTACTTGTGGTCGATATTCGAGTATTTCATAGGCATAAGCATTTTGTCTTGATGGGTACTTCCTTATTTATTGTTATGTGTGGATCAGGTGGAATGTCGCCACAGGTATTGGTTGCATGCCATAATAGTATCATGTGTGGATCGGGTTGCAAGCCGGAACAATGAGATGTTGAGTACGGTTCCCTATATCTATTCTTGTGTATTTTGTTTCTTATTCTGTGAGAAGGGTTCCTCGCGTTTGTTCGACCATTTTATTCAGGATGCGGGCTGGGTAGTTCTTTTCCAGAGTTCATTCTACCTTATGTGTTATATTCAAGTTGTAGCTTGTTGGCTTATTGATGGCGTCATATGAAATTTTTGGTCAG